TGGTGTTAATATGGGGTTAAAAATGTAATCTTTGCTAGTTTATTTAAAAAAAAATCATTTATCCCCCTTCTTCTCTTCTTCTTCCTCCACCCATAATGTCCCTCCCCCCTACTGCACCTTCGTCAGAGCCCTAACCCTCACCCCACACAGACCCCAATGTCATATGTTGGTAATGAGGCAGGCAAATGGGAGGCGTGTGGTGCAGTGAGTTTTCGTTGGTGTTGGGTTCAGGGGGTCATAGGTTCAAACCCCACTGCAGTCAGCATGTCGTTGTGTCCTTGAGACACTTCACCCCAAAGTGCGCCCGTGGGGATCGTCCACAGTATTGAGTATGTAAGTCGCTTTGGATAAAAGCGTCTAACAAGTACATGTGATGTTCATGTTGGTAGAAAACACTCGTGACCACCAGAACATAAAAACAAACATTTTGGTCACTGTCAGTCATCAGTTCAAGATTCAAGTAGTTCAACATGTCCAGACATATCCAAGATGCCAGACGCAAATACTTGAAGAAAATAAGTCATGATACCTGGATATACCATACTAGTACTACTTTTTGTTTTTTTTGTTGACACATTCGAAATATTATAATGACTGAGTGGAGGTTCCTGAATATTCCAACAGCTTATATGAAATTAACGAACCTGTTAGTGAGACACATTTATAAAAAACAATGTACTATTTTCACTAATATTACTATTGTACTGATTACTACTACTATTCTCTCTCTCTCTCTCTCTCTCTCTCCCGCATCCCTCTCTCTCTCTCTCTCTCCCTCCCCATCCCTCTCTCTCTCTCTCTCTCTCTCCCCGCTCCCTCTCTCTCTCTCTCCAGATAAGCTGTTTCAGTCCAACATCTCTGTGTCCTCCTCCATGTACGGGGTCTCCGGGGCCCAGCAGCAGGGGTTCCAGGTGTTCAGAGGCTCCACCTTCAGCATCAGTTGCTCCATCCAGCCTCAGTACCCAGGAGGCTCCTTCCTGCTCAGCTCCTCCACTCACAACTACACCCAGCCAGCTGTCAATCACTCTGCCCACTTCCTGTTCCCGGCTGCAGAGCCCGCCCACCAGGGAAGCTACAGCTGTGTTTATCACGTCTCTGCTTTTCCTCAGGACTCCTCCTCCGAGAGCCGTCTGCTCTCCGTCACCGTCACAGGTGAGCTGTTAGAGTTTACTGTAGGACAGAGCGTGATGCTCCCCAGGAGAACGCTGGTGAGTGTTTTACTGTGAGCCCTGAAGCAGTCACACCCTTACATCACATGTAGCTTTCCAGAGCAACGTACAATAAGTGCAATGAACCGTGAAGACATGAATCCAGAACACACATTCTCCAGTCAGCTGTAGTTTACATTGGAGTATTGCCATGAGTACTGACTGTTCAACAGATACAGCTAGCAGCTTCTCCCTACAGTCCTACTGTCTGGTATGAACAGGAGAAAGGGTTGGGGTTGAATGAAGATCTTAAGAAGATGTCGTTTATTGTAATATAACTGTAGAGAGGAGTCTCCATGCTGAAGTGGGTTCAGGTCTCTGTGTGTTTGCTGACTCTTGATGTGATGCTGTCCAGGTGTTCCATCAGATCCAGAACCTTTTATCATCCGAGCCGTCGTCCTGCTACTTACTCAGCTGCTGGTGCTGCTGGTGACCATCGGACTTTACTTCTACTGCAAGGTACGGAAACATGTTGTTGTTGTTCCACTGACTGAATGATGAGGGACTGAAACATGTTGTTGTTCCACTGACTGAATGATGAGGGACGGAAACATGTTGTTGTTCCACTGACTGAATGATGAGGGACGGAAACATGTTGTTGTTCCACTGACTGAATGATGAGGGACTGAAACATGTTGTTGTTCCACTGACTGAATGATGAGGGACTGAAACATGTTGTTGTTCCACTGACTGAATGATGAGGGACTGAAACATGTTGTTGTTCCACTGACTGAATGATGAGGGACTGAAACATGTTGTTGTTGTTCCACTGACTGAATGATGAGGGACTGAAACATGTTGTTGTTCCACTGACTGAATGATGAGGGACTGAAACATGTTGTTGTTCCACTGACTGAATGATGAGGGACTGAAACATGTTGTTGTTGTTCCACTGACTGAATGATGAGGCTGAAACATGTTGTTGTTCCACTGACTGAATGATGAGGGACTGAAACATGTTGTTGTTCCACTGACTGAATGATGAGGGACTGAAACATGTTGTTGTTCCACTGACTGAATGATGAGGGACTGAAACATGTTGTTGTTCCACTGACTGAATGATGAGGGACTGAAACATGTTGTTGTTCCACTGACTGAATGATGAGGGACTGAAACATGTTGTTGTTCCACTGACTGAATGATGAGGGACTGAAACATGTTGTTGTTCCACTGACTGAATGATGAGGGACTGAAACATGTTGTTGTTCCACTGACTGAATGATGAGGGACTGAAACATGTTGTTGTTCCACTGACTGAATGATGAGGGACTGAAACATGTTGTTGTTCCACTGACTGAATGATGAGGGACTGAAACATGTTGTTGTTCCACTGACTGAATGATGAGGGACTGAAACATGTTGTTGTTCCACTGACTGAATGATGAGGGACTGAAACATGTTGTTGTTCCACTGACTGAATGATGAGGGACTGAAACATGTTGTTGTTCCACTGACTGAATGATGAGGGACTGAAACATGTTGTTGTTCCACTGACTGAATGATGAGGGACTGAAACATGTTGTTGTTCCACTGACTGAATGATGAGGACTGAAACATGTTGTTGTTCCACTGACTGAATGATGAGGGACTGAAACATGTTGTTGTTGTTCCACTGACTGAATGATGAGGCACTGAAACATGTTGTTGTTCCACTGACTGAATGATGAGGGACTGAAACATGTTGTTGTTCCACTGAATGAATGATGAGGGACTGAAACATTTTGTTGTTCCACTGACTGAATGATGAGGGACTGAAACATGTTGTTGTTCCACTGACTGAATGATGAGGGACTGAAACATGTTGATGTTCCACTGACTGAATGATGAGGGACTGAAACATGTTGTTGTTCCACTGACTGAATGAAACAGTGTGTGTTATTGAACAGGAGTGATGCAGGAAGTCTCACTGTGTGCTGTCATGTCTCTCCAGGCCACCAGGGGGCGAAGGCTGAGCCGACAGGAGGACATTGAGCTGGATTATGATGACCTGGGTGTTCCTGCTGAAGAGGAAGGAGCTCAGGGAGCAGAGTAGCAGCTCCACGGAGCTCCTCTCACACACACAGGTTTATCAGCTCTTATAGCTTTTAACCAACGTTAGAAAATATAGCTTTCACTCTGAACGTCACCAGCAATGTGTTAGTGCCTCATGTTTCCTGACTTCCTGTCAGCTCCAAGCCCATTGGTTCCCACTGAAGATGAAGATCTTTAAAAAACATCACAAGTTAGTTTTATTTAGAAAAGTCAATGCAGTCGGTGCAGTTTGAAAGCAGACACACCAACCCAGGCCGCTCAGGAACTAAGTCGGCCAATTAATGCCATATATTAATGTTCACATATCCTCTAGAAACAGTGTTACAAAACCCAGTGTTTGAATCTAATGTAGTGATTCCTGAGATAACAGGAGGAGCGCGTTACAGCGCCACCTAGTGTTGGATTTGTAGACCTCGAGCACAACAAGGTTTTTTTTATATTCAATCAACAAATGAGACAAAGTATAGTTTTTAAAATGTTACGTTTTTCTCAACAATTCATCTGCTCAGCGAGATAGGATATTTGATCCCCTTGTGGGTCACATGGGTCATTTCAGCAGCAGGACCAGATTTAGCTGAACAATATCCAGATAGGAATTGAACAAAAGTAAATAGTCCACACACTTCTTATTTCACAACAATGCTGATGTGTTTTTATTGACAGAAGAATGTTGCTTGATTTTGGTCTGAAGAGATTGTTTGTATAAAAATAGCTTTTTTAGAGAAATCCGATTATATTTGTAATTTTGCCAAAATGTATAAGATTTTAACTTGTCTTTAATGTTCTTATTTC